AAGCCACTTGCTAAGTAGGTCTCTGGGGACAATCGTCCTGGGAACACCCGGAGCAGGGGTGGCCAGTGGTCTGTGCTCACCTGGCTGCAGACCAAGTGGGCCGAGTCCCCCGAGGCCTCCGACCCCTGGAAAGAGAAGTGGGGTGAGGTGGGGGCGTGGGGGGGATGGCCAGGGCCAGAGGACCAAGAGTGCTCTGCCTGTACCATCCACGCGGGACAGGAGCGTGTCCCAGGGACAGGCACAGGGACAGGTGACAAATGTGCCTGTCAGCACCCGGATCCCCCATCCCATCCCTTTCTGCCTTGCCCACCCCCCACCCTGCCAGGCCACGAGGGGACAGAGCTGAAATGTTTATGGCTGAGGAATGAGTCCCTCCGGCTCCGGCCAGCGCTGCCTTCCAACATCTGGGGCTAATCAGCCCTCGCTCCCTCCAGGCGCAAATTCCACTGCCTTTGGCTCAGGGTGCGGACACTGCTCCGGCTGGGGCTTCGCGGCCGCGCCGCGTTTGGTTTTAATTACACCGAAATAAAGGGCCTTGTTTTTCTTTCCACGAGTTGAAATCTGAGTAAACGGAGGTTGCCGGCCCCCGCCTCGGGCTGGCGCTCCCGCTGCGCAGACGGGCTGGCTCGGGGGGCCGGGGGGGGCAGCGTGCCCCTGCCCTGAGGCACAGCGGGTACTCCTGGGGCAGGCAGGGAGGGGAGACCCAGATCTCTACCTAAAAGAGCATCTCTCCCTGGGCCTTGATGGGCACCGGCATCTCTGTCGGCACCAGATTTGCCCCCTGCACATTCTGTCCCTCTGTCCCAGCAGCTCCCAGACGTGCCCTACCACACCCCAGGTTTGGTGCCCTCGGGCTGTGCATCCTCCTGCCAGCATCTCATCTCTCTCCTGGTGATGTCCCCTCTTGCCCCCTCATTTCTAGGCCAGACAAGCCCCAGCGTGGGCTGCAGGAGCCCCAGCAGAAGCTGCTCAGCCATGAACGCAGGCAGGCGGAGGTGCTGCCAGCTTCCCCCAGACACCAGCTCCCAGCAGGGCTGAGCGAGCGTTACTTGGCTTTGCATCTTTCCGAGGAGCTTTGGCACAGGTTTGCAGGCAGCAAGCACCCCAAAAGGGTGGTCCGTGGGGGCTGGAGACGAGTGGGCAGTGTGCCAAAGCAAGGGCCGAGGGAGGAAGGCTCTCTGCAGCTGTGGGGGCTTGGCAAGGGTTAGTGTGGCAGGGCAGGGCAGAAAGCGCCGGCTGCTGTGTGCCTTGGCCATGGGGGTGCCCACAGTGGGGGGGTCCCCTTGGCCACATGGAAGAAACATGAGGGCAACAGGCATTGGGCAATATCCTGGCCACTGGCATGGCTGGAGGTGGTGAGACAGCCAAGGAAAGGCTTCTTACCTGGTTTAAGAGGTTTTCCTCCAGCCCCGAGTCCTAGGGTAGAGTGTGTGGAGAGGGGTCAGAGCCATCCTGAGCATTCCCCGAGGGGGGACACTGTGTGGGACTGGGCCAGCCCCATGGCAGACCCTCTGCCCGACACCAGGCAGCACGGCTGGGCGCACTTCCCCCCTCCCCATCACAGCACACCCTGGGCAAAGGGGTCCCAGCACTCACCTGCTCCCAAACCTCCAACCCCAGCACCTGTAAGCAATGGCACAGTCTTAGCACCCATCCCTGTGAGCACCCACCACCCACCCACCCATGCCAGGGTCCATGGGGAGACAGAGAGGGTCACAAGGGTGTAAGGAGATGGGGCATCTCCCCTGGGATGTCCCCAAGATTTTGGCTGAGATGTTGGGGACAGGCTGTGACCTCTGAGCACCTCTTGTGGCCAGGGCAGGGGGTAGGTGCCAGCCCTGGGCTAGTGCCACCCAGTCCTGTCCCCATGCCGTGGGGCTGGCACTGAGGCTGCCACCCTGGGCTGAGCTGTTACAGTGTCCCCATGTCCCCTGACCCCAGATGGCAGGTCCCCGGACCTCTGTGCTGGCTCAGAGGCACCTGGGGATCCTGCAGGCACCTGCCCCATCCCTGCAAACAAGCTGATGCTCCCTGCCAACACTGCCTGGACCCTCTTACCTGGGAAAAAGCCTCCTCCTGGGACCCCCCCTCCTGGAATAGCACCAGGGACCCCTGCAAGAGAAGAGACCGTCATTGAAATCCCACCCAGGGATTCAAGTGTATCCGGTGGGGAGGGGAGGGGGGCACCTTCTGTGATGGGGAGCTGCTCTCTGTGGAGGGGGTGGTATGTAGAGTTCCAGGGCGAGGACTCAAGGGCAGGTCCCTGCCTTTCCCTTCACACCTCAGCTTCCCCAGGGTGACAGTGGTGACAGGAGGTGCCCCAGACAGAAGCTGGGGAGGCATCTTGGTGGAGGTGTCAGCAGGACTTTGTCTTGCATGGGAGGGAGGGAGGGACATGGGGCTGGTACGGAGCAGGACTGGCTGGTGTCCAGCCAAGCTTCCCAAACCTCTCCTGTAACACAGCCGGTGCCGTCTCCATCACCTCCAGCTTCACGTGGCTCTGGAGGGACTGATCTACTCGCGGTCATACATGAAGGGGCAAGGCTGTCCCAGTTCATCCCCACAGCCCACCCTGGTCCCTGATCATGCTTGGCTGGCCTGCCCCATGCCCACGCTGCCTGCCCTGCCTTGCCCTTCCTGCTGAGCTGCCAGCAGGAGGAGTCAGCTCAGGCCAGCAGGACTGGGGTGTTGGACTGGGGGGACTGTGCTGAGACCCACTGAAACCACCTGCATCCCTCTGCCCATTTCTGTGAAGATGAGATAAGCCCCCAGGTCCCACTGCTTTCCAGGGTGCCTGGAGATCGTGCTCAGGGGTCATCCTCAGGCACCACAGCAACGTTTTTTGGCTGGTTTGGACCATGGCAAAGGTCTATCTCCTGCAGACCATGAGGCAGCCATCCCCTGGGTGGTCCTCCCTGCTCCCTCGGGGTCGTGCAGGGGGTGGAGGCTTGCAGGTGGGTTGGCAGCACAAGGAGGTTGCAATGCAGAGGGATGCTCTGCTGCTGGCTGGAGCGTGTTTCTGGCACTGGGGGGGGGTTCTTACCGTGGGATCTGCAGTGGGGTTTGCAGGTTGGCTGACAGGGCTTGCAGTGAGACTGACAGGAGGATTTGGGGGTTGCCAGAGGCAAATTGCCTTGGCCAGTACCCCTGTGGCAAGCTGCAGCCAGCTCTCCTGCCTGCCCTGGGCAGCGGGGATGGAGCTCAGGCTGGATGGGCACCGGAGATCCTGCAGTGCCATGGCTGGGACCACTGGACCTGCTGTCCTGCTCCGAGGCTGTAGCGGCCTCCCCAGGAGCTGGGTGTATGCAGTGTCACAGCCCTGGCAACACCACCGCAGGCTGGGCAGTGTCTGGGGGTTGGGCAGGCAGCCAGCGCAGGCAGGTGGCAGAGCTGGCACACCGGGAGGGGGGGGGCACATCTCTTCACCATCTCAGATGTGGTGCAACATGACGGGACGAGGGTGACCCCTGGGCCCTGCTCACATGTGTCCCCCACCACCCAGAGCACCTGGGAGGGACCCCCAGCCCAGCCACAGAGACCCGGCGCCAGGATGCACCCACACGTGTCAGGACACACACACACTCACGCAAGAGGGGTGTCAGGGGGACACGCACCGGCAGGACACACACCCACAAAACCATCGGGATGCACACACTGCCAGGACCTGTCACACAGCCCCAAAGATCCCAAAGAGTAGGGCTCAGCCCTGTGCCCCCCAGAACCACCTCCCAGGGCCCTGCAGGGGACAGAGGGCCAAATCTGGCCCTGGGGAAGCTGACATCCCTTGGAGCGGAGGGCACACGTGCTCGGTCATTGCTCCAGCCAGCCAGCCAGCTCACCCCTCTGGCACAGCACAGCCTGGCCCGGCTGTTGGCCAGGGGTTTACGGAGCGGCTCCTTTTCCCGGCACATTCCGCCCCCCC